TAGGGAAAGCACCTGCAGCCTTGGCTCCCACCTGTGATTTCTGACTCCTGCAGGTTACCTGTGAGGACTGTATGGGCATCTCCCATGCATTGTCCATCAACTCCAGCTCCCCTGCTCAATCAGCTGCCGCAGCCACAGGCTCACTCTCAAGCCATGCTGCAAATTGGTGGAGTTTTTTGCCATGGCATCCCCTTCCCCAGCACTGAAGCACCAAGCTTACTCTCCTGCTAGGATGCCAGACACCAGGAAACACCTACAGGCCACCCAGGCTCACTGTGCTGCACAGCATGGTGCTGAGCACAGAGCTCCCTAAGATGCTGCTGGCTCTGACTATGAATGGCTGTTACTGGGGCTTCTTTGGGGAGAATAGCAATCCTTGGAACATTGAGTGGAGACAACAATCCCTAGAAAGGGTCAGTGCCCCATGCCAGCTGCCTTGAGGAGAGCAAACTTTTAGTAGGGAGAAGGCTCCTCTGGGAAGAAAGGAAGAGGCTCACCAGGGAGAGGGTCACAGACACCCCATTCCCCTTCAAGGGTTCCTTCTGGTTCAGGGGTGCTCTGGCCCTGACACCCCTCTGCCAGGACCCTCCTGTAGACTCAGGGATGTGCATTTTCTTGGGATATCAGCTCCCTCTCCCAGCAACCAGCCCAGTCATCAGTGATGCTGGAGAGCAGCTGCCAGACAGGCAGAGCAGCCACAGGCCTTTAGTCCCTCATGGACCTTCTGCTGGGCTGGCAACAACTGTGGGCCAGGAGCTGGGCGGATGTGTGCCCCACAGGGGGATCCCTGCTACCTTCATCATCACCCCCTCCTGAGAGGACAGGTTTGTTTTAAAGACCCTGGCTTCCTTTTATTGCTTCCCCTCTCAGATTGCAGCCAGCTGCAAGGGCTATTTTTAGCAGCCTGCCTTCTAAAAATAGCCCCAAGCTGTTTGGAGTTTCGTCACAAGAGGTAACTCTCTCCATCTGGGGCTTGGCCTCTGTGCCCCGGCAGGGTACAAAAGGAGACTGGGAGCAGCAGGGTCAGCAGGTTTAGACGGCAGCCAGACAGAGACAGGAAAGGCAGCAGAGAGCTGCTGTCAGCTTCAGGCATCCTAGCGCCGCCGTCATGACCATCTTCTGCAGCCACTGCCACAGGCCACTGCAGGCAGAGATGAGCTACCTGCCCAGGAGGGGCAAGCAGGCACCCGCTACCTTGAAGCCATTCAGGTGAGCTCCCCTCTGCCCCCCACCCATGGGGCTGTGATGGCATCCTGGCTGGGGAGAGCCCCAGGACAGCTTGCCTAGTGGCTAATGGCCCTTGCAAGGGGCTGTGGCACTAGCTTGGAAGAGTTAAGCTGCCAGCTGGTGCCTGGGGAGGAGGTGTGGGAGCTTGGAGGGGCAGAGGGATTTCAGGTGGTTAAAGAGTTTCCATTCTGGTGGGGTTTGGTGGGGAGGTTGTGTCACTGATGCTCCCCCCAAACCACAACTCATTGTCTGACTTCGCCCCCAGCAAGAGGGTCACCAGCCACACCAGCAGTGTTCCCCTCTGGGTGGCCATGAGCACCTATGCCTGCTGCACCAAAACAGCCACTAGAGGTTTGCCCTCAGAGAGGCAGCTGGCACGGGCACTAAGCCTCTCTAGGGAAGCATGTCCACTCCACGTCCCTGAAATTGCAATTCCCCCATAGGGGTGGGCAGGGAATGCTGTCCCTCTCCCAGCCCTTGGACAGGTCTCCCTAGCAGCTGGCTTTGCAGGTCAACCAAGAGTGCCTCCAAGGCTCGTCGGGACCAGATCAACGTGGAGCTGCAGGCACTGCGCTCTCTGCTGCCCATCTCCACGTCGGAGAAGGAGCGGCTCTCCTACCTCCACACCATGGCCCTGGTGTGCCTCTGGCTGCGAGGAGCCCAGCTTTTCCCTCTAGGTACCCATGGTGCTGCCGTACCCCGTGCTGGCTTGGCTCTGCATGAGACACTGCTCCGGCCCCAAGACAGCACTTCACTCCATGCTCACCCAGCAGACTCTGTTCCTCCTGTGGGACCAGTCCTCGGTGTGGAGCTGCTCTCCCTGCTGCCAGGGTTTCTGCTTGTGCTCTCGGCCAATGGCAAGCTGGTCTATATCTCGGAGAATGTGGCTCAGGTCCTGGGCCTCTCCATGGTAAGGTGGGCCCACTGGGCATTTTACAGTCACTCTTCCCATACCTGTCCTGGTGCCTTTATTGTGCCTTTTTTGTATGCACAGCATGCTCTCCCAGCAGATGCTGGCCTGTGGCACCATGGTCTGGCATTCACAGTGCCAATGCATGGCCCACCAGGGTAGGCACAGTCCATGAAGACAACCCTGTCTTTATCAGGTAGAGCTGCTTGCGCAGGGGGACACGGTCTTTGACATCCTAGTTGAGGGAGCGCAGGAGGATGTTCGCAAGAAGCTCCTCTTTGCCCAGGAGCATCCCAGCAGGGGTAAGGAAGGCCTCGGCTGGAGTCTCAGAGGTGCTGCCACCCTGCTCTGACTCTTTGTGGCTGCGGTTAGAGAGCCAGGGCCAGCCACCCCTGCAGGGAATGAAGCAAAGGAGCTCCTGACCCGCTCCAGCTGGTTTGTTCCCCCACAGAAGTCACGTTTGTCAGCGAGATGCGCACATCCAAGGCTTTCCGGCTGCAGCACGGGGGCAACCGGGCTGTGGCAGTGCGTGGGCACTTCACAGCCCTGCAGGGGCCAGCCACCCCCTCCACAGCAGCCTTCCTGGCCCTCTGCACGCCAGTCACGCTGTTCCCTGCTGATGGCAGTGCTGGTTTCCAAGACGACCTCTTCCAGAGCGTGCACATCCTAGACATGACATTTGCCGATGTCACGGAAAGGTGAGGGGTGCCTGCTTGCCTCGCAGCCCCAGCTGCACAGCTCTGGCAGAAAAGATCCTTTCCCTTCGCCAAGCCCCTGTGTGGGACACTGCCTGAGCAGTGAGACTCTCTGAAGCACTGCCCAAGCCTCTTTCCCCTCTGGTTTGCAACCCGTTTCTGTGGCCCTGCTCTCTCCTCCATCGTGCCACAGCTGCCCCTTGCTGATGCAGTGCAGACCCTGCAAAGCTCTCAGTCCCCACCCCCTTTGCATCCCCAGTGTCATCTACCACCTTGGCTACCGCAGGGAGGAACTGATCGGTCAGTCCTGGTACAGCCTCCTGCACCCTGAGGACACTGACCGGGCAGCGGCCCAGCACAGGGCTGTGGGTGAGTGTGAGGCCTGGGAACAGCTCTGTCTTTGTGCAGCTACGTGCTCTGGCTATGCCGGAAAGGTGGCTGTCCAGGACAACAAAGTGAATTTAGTCTTGCCTGCTGTGGCTCCCTGCTTGAAAAGGACAAAGCAGAGAAGCGTTCCCACACCCTACACACTGTCTGTAAGGTCTCAGGTAGCTTCTAAGCTC